CCGTCGAAGTGCAGTTCCAGCGCCTGAAGGGCAGGCCCGCTATCGTACAGCTATTGAGTCTTGAGTTTCAAATATACATTTATATATTTTATCGTTATCTTTGCGGCTCATTGCACCTAACCTCTTGATGAGGGATATGCTATCCATCCACGCCAAGTTTATTAGTAGTTTCTTTCCGCCTGGATTTACTGCAATCTCTTCGTTACTCCATGTAAGCAGCATTTCACAGCATCAGCCCCCCAACGTCAGCCGCTAGCCGAAGTGATGCTCTAATTTACTTTAGAACAGAGATAACGTTATGGGACACCCACGTTTATCGAGCGCAAGCACTGCAGCCTCGCTATACCCATTATCAGTAACGTCAGATAGAATGAAAGAATCATTCTTTTTTTTTTGGTCAGTGGCTAGCTGACCGCCGTCTAGAGCCATCACGCTGCGATGTCAACATTAGCAGCGTCAGAAATGCATCTTTACGGCGGGCGTTGACTTGCTTTTCCTGCTCCCCTTTTCAGAATCTTGAAACGAAAGAAAGTCGTTGCTTATATCGAGAACCCATGAAGAATCGAGGCTGACAGGAGACAACGAATAATCAGACGTCTACAATTGTACCACGAGATTTCGCCACGTTACCGCATGCCTTTTTTTCTATAGCAGTAATTTTACAGTTTTTGCTTGGATCCTTAGTCTTTCTTGGCTGTCGTTATTGTTGTCAGTAGGAAACTGGTAGCATACATATAAATCCAATGTTGTGGCAGGAAGAGCCGTTTCTCGAGAATGGAGACTGCCCCGTTGCGAGCGGAAGAAGTCTCACGAGAACGAAGATGCGCGTCGAGCGGCGTGCGATACAATCCGGTGGACGTAACGTTGGCGCCAACAGGCGTAAGGACGCATATTTTAACTACTACAACAGCTACCATTATTACTACTAGTGGCTTTGAGCCAATCCAGTCGTAGAGTGTTAGCCATCTATGGCGGCCGGCCACACACAGAAAGTGCCGAATGTTTAGTGATCGTTTGGTCCAAACAGACAAGCGCGGGTCGAGCGCTTAAGAGCCGTCAAATGGTACTTACTCTGCCGATCGCCATAGTATAAATGTTGTTCTTCCCATTCTTTGAGCTTTTCGAAGCCGAATTCAATGGCCGAGCTCACCCATCTGCGATCACTGAGCTGGGAGCGTATGCAAAGTAAATACGCTTTTGTTCTGGTGAGTTTTAATATTTTCTGTGTCGTTCTTGAATAATTCCAAACCACTAGATTTTTACGTACTTACCGCGAGACATTTGGCCTGACCGCACACACACGGCGTAACTAGGCCAAAACGACTACAGCACTTTCGAGGTACTGCTCTGACTGTCTTAGCGTAATCGTTGGCTGACGACAGTAACGATGAGATAACACGCGAATTCGATAGCAATAAAATTACACACTTTGTTGGGAGGAAACCAGAATATTCCAATTATATCCAGAGACTCTAATCAATAGCCGATTAGAATCGGTGCACATTTACTCCAGACGGTGTTTCATACGCGATTGCGAAGTTGAAGCAACATGAAACACTTGTTCTCGTCAACTCATCTTGTTCAAAGTATACCGGAACTAATAAAACGCCGAAAGTTTTCCCTAAAAGCAACACTTTCGCGTATAGATCCGTACCTGCTACAGCGGTCATCAAAAAAAGCTTGCTACGACAACGTCATAGCGCGGCCCATCCTATACGGGTTTGAAAGAACGAATCTAATTATTTTTCGAGTAGCTAGCCGACCCATTTCCCTCTGTCACCCTTTTATTCCTTTGTAAGATTCTAAATGTAACACTCTTAACTAACGTAGGGACTGCGACAGTCTGACACAATACACGACTACGGCTGATGGGAACTCCAATGAAGGGTTCCAATTTGGAAGGCACTGCTATTGCCACCCAAAAATGAGGGAGCCGAAGAAGCAAATGTGGCAATGCAGACCGATTGTCAATGGCCACAGCGTTGCCGTAACATCATCGCGTTGATTGACCTATTCAGGATAAAGCTTGCAATTCCACCCAGAGCACATTCGTGTATGATGACGTGGCTGTAGCGAGCACGTGTAGAGTATTATGCAATAGAATAGAACACGCACGTTGGCGGTTTCCAAAATAGAATATTATTATTATTATTATTATAGATGAATTATTTACTCCAATTTGCGATTAATAACATTCACAAGATCAGTAGACAACAACTGCAGCTGACAACCTAAACTTCAATCACTTGAATACATAAAAAGGCCCTTTTTATATATTAACCGTGGTTTCTAGCATTTAGGTAACAACATCGAGTGACATTGTTACCTAAATGCTCAATCTGGAATTAGTACAGGACAAGTATGCGATTTATGAGATCCGATTTTTTTCCTCTCTGCCAAAATAGGCAACAATTCTTTTAGGCCGTGCTTGTATGTTGAGTGTGATCAATGCGACCCCACCACCGGTTACAGGTCGGCCCCAGCAACCTCTACCTGTCTCACTTTCGCATCCTCTCGCTTTATCTGGTTTGCTTTCTAGCATAATCCATGCATGCGAGCACAGCAGAGAAACAGCCATGTATCGATTCCGTACTTTAGACGACTTTGCCGAAGATCATTACTACTGGCTTTGATGGCGGTGTTGCCCATCCTCGCTTCGCATCGCAGCGGGTGGGGCTCAGATCTTTACTACTACCACGACACCAGCAGCGTCAGCAGATCCTGTCTGTTCTATCTTTGTTCGCCGTTTTTCGGTCCCTCCCCTCCCCCCCCCCCCCCCCTCTCCCCTCCCTCTCCCGTCCGCTCCTCCTTCTTTTTAGATCGATATGAAGCGCAATCCTCTTTCGTCGCTCGTCCAGCGATGTCTCTTCAAGTGATCTGCCACTAGCGGTGTCTATGGAGAAGACTGCCACCCTTGCTATTGTTTCCATTACGGCGCCATTGTAACGCCACAGGTTGACACAACCACGCCACTGTTTAACGTAGCGCTACAATTAACCACCTTAACGGCAAAAACAATAACGAGGTCAAAATATGCCAAAAAATGTACAACACTCTGGTCGTATAAATCATGTGCGAAACGCTGTCACCAATGTACAGCCGAATTTGTTGCCCGTGGTGTTTAATTTATTGACGCATTGAATAATCATAATAGCACCTTCTGAAATGACCCATTTTTGGCATTAGAATGCGTCTAGCGTATCGAACTATGCGTTCTCCCCTTCCCTTTAATTTTTCGTAATGTGACGAGCGCTAATAAAAGCGGTAAAAAAAGGGGAGCAAAAGTAAAAACGTGGTCTGCAAAAATGAATTACAGGAACTTGGATCAAAATAGATGAAATTATCTATATTGTAAATAGCTACACACATATATATATCATATATTAAAAATCAGTAAGTCCTGCGCAGGAGAGAATTAAGCGTTCGTGACATGTTAGCACTCCGATTAGAAAGCTTTAGCATAGTTTGCTGTATGAAGATGACTTTGTACACGTAGATAGATATTTGCTAACAAAAAAAAAAGCCCATTTGACCTGACGCCCGACACTAGTGAAGCCGCGATCGTTTCGGGTGACGCACTCGTAATACCTAACAACGCTGATGAATCCAGGAATTGGATCGGGTTCCCGATAGCAGTAGCAGTAGTAGTAGTAGTAGTAGTAGTAGTAGTAAGAGTTCTAAAGCCGAACGGTTGTTACCACTCGCCATTTCTGATAATTGTAAAGCAACAACGTTGTTCATGGCCTCTAGACGGTGAGTAGGACACTCTTCGTAACATACATTTCAGTGTTAAACCGCAGCCTGCGTGTAGCATAGGCCCTACCGCGTTTTTTTTTCAAAAATTATTTTTTCGAAATTGAACTTTAGTCCACCGCGCTGAATAATGACGACCTTTAATGCAGTTTTAAATTAATTGGCACAATGTTGTTAGTAACGTCTAAGTGTACGTGAACAAAGCAGATACAGCCAACTAGACCGATGCTTTTTCTAACGACTAATTTGATAAATTCTAATAACTAATCACATACAAATTAATTACTAATAAAATAATGTAAATGCTACTTTAGCTTTGATTGCATGTGCCTTGAGCGACAAAGCTGGAACGATAACATTTTTTTTTGTGGTGTATAATTCATTCCACTGCTTGCATCCTGCTTTATTTACAGAACAGACTTACTTAGCACCGATCGTTCTCTTCGGTCAGCTCAACTAAAACATTCTGGTAATAACTTACTCTGGTAATAACGTTTGCTTACGTTCAATAACATCAGTCGTATTTGAATATAATCGATATAAAATGTCACTTTCATAACGATATCAAATGTTTTTTTTCGGGGCCCGTTCGTGATCGGCAGATTTTTTATACAGTTGTTTGCCGGTATTCGAATTGTTGGCATATTTAGTAGACGTTTTTACTGTTTGATACGAGAACGCCTTTACCTTGCTTTGGCAACTATACGTATCAGGAAACTGCAAACATTATTTTGTTTAGCCTCACAGAGAAGCAAAGCCATGTACTTGGAGGACTTCTAAACGAAATACAATCCCCGATGGATATGACTTCCCAAAGAGTTGGTATGGCGACATTTACAATCGGCCGATTTCAGCTCGAATGGAACAAAGTCCAAATGCGCGAGAGACCTGCTTAGACGAATGGCTGTAGATTGTGAGCATTGCAGACTTGGTTCATAGTTGAACACCAATGGCAGGAATGAGTCTTACCGAAGGATAGTAACGTACAAAAGCTATTGATGGGAGATTAACGAACAGCAGCCTTAAATATTGTCCACTAGAAATAAAAAAATATGTTATTGAAAGCTTATTGGAGGGTTGGCCGATTCGTTTTAGTGATTTAATAAGCTAACAATAATATCCCATACGAAACTTGGTTACCACACATCTTTTTTTTTTTTTTTTTTAGATATTCATTTATGTTATTTTTATCTTTACTAAGAGTAATAGTAATTAATAATTAAAATTGTTAAATAGTTGTCACTTGCCAACTCGTTCCATCCGGTTGTCTATGAAGCACAGCACTAGCACCAAACTGGCCTTCTCGGTGTACAGGCTCTCCTCCGAACATTTGGATCTTACTGAGGTCGAGGTTCAACGCCAGCTCTTCAGAGGCCAAGCACGGACCTGGTAGCTGAACGGCGAATGCCACCACAAGAAGAACAATTGTACGCGTCCGTAAACGCAGCAGAGACGCCAGCTTTTGGGTCAGTCGCGCCGGGCATCTGTACATGACGGATGAGCAATAGTCGCACGAACGTAGGAACCGGCGGCTCCGTATTCCCAGCAGCGGCCGAGATGAGCAGGTAGCGTGCGTCATCTTTATACCCTTAATTTAGCCTAGGTGTACACTTCGTTCTTCTTTGCTTATCGTTATTTGATGCTACTTTTGATTTATACTATGCCACGGTATAGCTATAACGGCGTCCTTTTCAGTGTGGCGTGTAGGGCTAGCTATTTAGAACTAGCTAGCTAGCTATGTAACTCTGTTAACTTTAAGTAGTTTTTTTCAGGCGGCAGCACCGTCCATCTATGCAAACTCGACACACTACGATAGGAGGTGAAAATACTATCACACGGAGGGGAACCATGTGCTATTTGTTAGATCCTTGCAGATTAGACGCGAGCCCTATTTCTTAGGGATTTCCTGATCCTTTATGGCAACCAACCGGGCAGGAGCTTTATCGAGCAATTGGACCATGTGCCGTAGTGCGTGGAGGTTAACTTAAGGGGAACTCATTCGCGCTCGGCCGCACGGCCAACGGCAGGTGTTAACAGTTTATCGCGCTTCGTACACCTCTGGTGTCGCCGAAATACTCAACTGCTATTGGAAAACAGCGATACAACCAGTATCGGAATCACGGTTGCGCGACTAACCTAAATAGTACTAAATATAGTACATACGAAACACAAGCCGCCACAAATGGCCAACGAATCACCTCCAGCTTTCACCGAAAACTGCCAATTTGTCATCCATTCCGTATATCGCTTTGTTATTCTTTAGTTGTTAATGGTAATGGTGATGCCGGCGCTGTAGTCGAGTTGAGTCATCCAATATAAATGAACTAACGTACACGAGAGTCACTTCGTAGCGCAAACATTCCATATGAACAACATATATCCGTTAGGGGTCGTTGTGGTCGCCGCTGCAATGGGAATAAATTACTGTTCGCGAAATCGTAATCGATAAATTTGCTACCGATCATGAACTTTTCTGTTCACTAGAAGGCTACGCATCCGATCAGCACAATCCTACGAGAGTATTCCGGGTATACTTTGGTTGGTGAGTGTGCAGGTTGGCGGGCGGACGGCCGGTCGCTTGCTTGTCTTGACTAAGTGATGCGCGGAACTTGTTTTCACTTTTTTGGCACCGGAAGAACCATTAAAGGTATCCGTCGAACTCGTTGCGATGCGCAGTTTGTGCGGGATAGGTACGCTGTAGTCGCAGCCCCCTCTTGCAATGGAACGCGGCAACGATGAGTGTAATGCCGGTAGGGGCAAGCATTCAAGCCGCCGTAGCACATGGTATTAAATGGGAGAGAGGGCAAACTGAGTTGAGCCAGCTCGGGCGACAGTGGCTCCACTGCATGAGACATCATATGCACATACCTCCATGCGATTGTGTAACTGGATGTGTGGTTCATGCAGGTATACAGGACAGAGGCTCAGCTTCGAAGCACAACCATGACTACACTAATATTAGTGTCAACTGTGAACAGCAAGCCGAACGATTCCTATCGAAAGCAGATGCAAAGTGAACTGCAAACGTTGGATCTTTCCTCATTTGCCTCTCCATATTTCTCTCGTATATCTCTGCGTATAAATTTTTTCATATGTAAGACAAACTTTTCTCAGCTAAGAACACAGCGAATTGATTGATACTGGTCTCAAAGCGTTTTGGTAGACGCTCGTCGAACCTGTTAGACTGTCATCTTCTAGTACGCGGTCAATCACTGGCGCCGATCATATATCGTTCTCTTTTTCACAGGTACCTTCTCATAAACGTAAACACAGCTTAGGGGAGCTGCTAGATGCAACAGAAGCTGAACCAGAGCTACTTTAGCTAAGAACATTCAAACTCGGATGACTTTCGTAGGGTTGACTATATTTTGCAGGGTATTACCAGTTGGACACAGCAGCTAGGGTAGGGGCATCACAGATGTCAAAACGAACTTCGAAAACCCGAAAGGTATTGTTGAGCTGTACAGCAATCGAGGGATGTACTGATCGGCACTGTCCATAGCCTAAATGCACTACGGAGGAGAACTGTTATGCGAACGAGCCTGTATCTGCACTATGGCACATAATCGAAGTATTTTCGTACAGACAACATCTTTTCTTAGCTTTTCGATTGCATATTCAAACCCGTAGGCCCGAATCGCCTGCTAACACTTAAGACGATATTAATCACGAGCTCATATATACACATTATGCACGTTGACCAATCATATTGAACTTGTCGTACCACAAAATGCATCAATAGACACGGAGACCGACAATTCGTGTACAAGAAGTTTGCAACGGCCGTTCAGCGGTGAGACCGCAAACTCTGCCTTCAACAACAGCAACAACGACGACGACTACAGCGGCGGCAACAACGATGACGACGACACACGCAGCTACGGCAGACGCCGCCCCAACGGCCGCGAATGAGTGCGGCGTGATCGTTGTCAGAAGATACGGTAACGACGCGAATCGAACTGACTTCTCCTGTCTGATGTAGCTGTATCGTAGTGGCAGTAGGCAACTGTTTCGCTGAGGGGCACTTGTCCGCCCTTTCTTTGCCCTCTTGATTACGGACACAGAGTCGCAGACAGCGGGACACAGGGGCTACTACCGCTAATAAACAGGTAGGTAGGTAGGTAGGTAGGTAGGTAGGTAGGTAGGTGGCTAGATACAGACAGGATACCCGCGCTTTATCACTACACACAGCGGCGCCGTTACCGCGGGTTGATAGGCAGACTTTTCCGCATCTTTATGTAAATCGGCTACAGGGCAACGCGCCGCAGTTCTTAGAATTAAACTGCCCGTTGTTGACGCACTCAAAATTCGCTCATAGGTTTGACCAAGTCAATAATGGTCACTGCCTCCTGCTCGCACAGATCCGGCCTGGCTCATCCAATCGGTGCTCAGTTAAGTCATTGGCATCAGCCGTTCTCGTTCCTCCACTGCCAGCTAAGCCGATAGCTGCAACAGACAGCAAGCGTCGCTCGCACACTACTGGCGCTCGCCGTCACCACCTGTGGAACGACCGTGGTCTTCGCGCTCAGCGGCCGAGTGGCGCTCGTAGCGCGCTTGGAGCTGGTGCCCTTTCCACTTCAGCGCCCCCACTGGTCTAGTGGCTGCTACGTGTCCGCCGGGCTGGCACAACTCAACGCGGCTGACGGTACTGGCAATAGCAACTCGCGTAGAGAGATCAAATCAAGCGTCAAGGCAACTTTCGAAACATTTATTTTAAGTGGCGCTGCGATCGTACCTCGCTCATAGCTACGCCGTTGCTTTTTAGTAGCATTTCAGTGCCGTTAGTGGTCTAGTCGCATAGAATAATAATACACACTGTGTATATGTTTGTGTATGTCTGTCCGTGTGTAAGTCTGTGAAGTGTATCTCTATCTATGTCTAGGTGTCTCCGTGGGTTTGTATGTGTACCTGTGTCTGTGCATGCATGCATGTGTGTCTTAGTGTGTGTCTGCGTGTGTGTTTGTCTACGCCCGGGTGTGTCTGCGCGCGTGTGGGTGTGTTTGCGTGTGGGTGTGCCTGTGTATATTCTTATGTGGTTTTCGGTGTTTGGGTGTGTGTGTGTGTGTGTGTGTGTGTGTGTGTCTGTGTGTGTGTGTGTGTGTGTGTGTGTGTGTGTGTATGTGCACGTGTGCGGTTCTGTATGTATGCATGTGTGTGGCTGGGATCTCAAGCGGGTATCCTCCAATGGCTATAGACCTGTTGTGTATGGCGGTGGCGAGTGTCGGCCGCGTAATGTTTCCTGTATCATTTCGTCGCGGAAAGACAGTGCCGTGCCGCGGTTACGAGAGAATCATGTAATTACCCTTACTCTGTGTTTGAATATACGAGATAATCAGTATTATGAGGAGAATTTTATCGCAGATACATTTACCTACATTTGCCAAACTGATTCGGCAGACAGAATGGGCTAGAGAAGTTTGAGGAGCCGAGGAGCGGCCGCTACGCTTAGGCGAAAAAGAACTTAAAGTTCCTCAGACGAATGCATTAACGCCAACAGCTTTCTCATGCGAACACGTAGAATAGCTTCAATTGCAGGAATTAGATTTGAGCCATCGTAAATAGCATGGTTCAATTATATGTAGTACTCGGCATCTTCTTCGTTGGCATTAAGAGTGTCGCTTGTGACCTTGCATTAACGTAGCATAGAACGTTACAATATATTGGCTAAACGAGCTTATCCATGGCAAAATGACAGAAACTGGGAGAAAAAATATGGAATATGATCATTTTATAGTCCGATAGACGTTTCGTTCAGATCAAGGCGTGCACGAAAGCTAGTTATCTTCCCCGGACCCGACTCGTCTCAGAATCAGCGTTGAAGGCAACTGCTACGAAGTCTCCGTGTCGAAATTACATTTTTAAGGGTTTTTTTTTTCCAGACAAAACTGAATTAACCGTATACGTTTTACGAAATGACATCTTTAATTGCTGGTCGATTATTTCGATACGCATATTTATATCTGCCGATACTTGCTGAGCAAACAGATATGCGCTAGACCGCCTTTAGTTCCATTGTGTGTGACAATTTGTCGCTTTGCCCGTTATAAACATACAGCGGGCGCAGGCTGGCTCGTAGAGGTTTGCCAAATAACCGTGCGCAAAAATCAACGGATTTATTAGTTGATTTTTGAGCAGAATGATAGTAACCGTCTAAATTGTACTGCACTACAAAAAATCGAATTTATGCACTACTCTCAAACGCTTTTTTCGCCTAAGGCTTATCGTGCCGCTAGCGTGTGCAGAGCTGCATGACGGGGCAGATATAGCATATGCCTATCGAAAGCAGCTACGCTTTTCACCTGCATCTGTTCCTTTCAGAAGTACAACAATGCTGCCAGCAATTTAACGATGAGCATTTGAATACATCGACTAAGCTATCTCCTAACAAAGTCTATCGGCTGAACTGTAACGGCCCATATAAGCTATCTAGATGGACTGATTCAACTCGTCTCAGACTATTAAACTTGAAGGTGTTAGTCAATTAATGCCAAAATGAGAGTCGTGTACACTTTCTGGCATATATACCTTGACTCGACGACACTGATCGCTAAGGCTTCGTAACAGGAGGCGGTTTTTACTCGCGTGTTATCAGACAGCCACAGGATCCCATTCACATTAAACTTCATACGGTTTAACCGGAATAATATACACTGAAATAACGAATAGTTAGTGTCAATCTGAAAGAAGCCACTAAACAATTTGGGCCGAATGAAACTCCCGCATAGATTACCTATCACACGCGGAAGATCATAATCCGTCTTGAATCAAGCCGTTTTTACATGTTAAATTTTAACTTGTTTACTACAATGTGAAGAGTTGTTTGTTAAAGAGTTTGAAGTTATTAATTTTACGACAATTTCACCGATGCCTACCATCTGAGCCAGGTCCGGCTCGTGAGAATATGACCAAAAGATCTCGTAACATATTAGCAATAACAAGCAGTCTAGTTTCTATTTGCGTTGATTTGGAAAGCGGTTACGCTATTTTCAGAGCCTCATCATGTTGTTTGTAAACCCGTTCTGTCCGAGCCTGAGCTTATGTCCGGCCTACTAACGTGCGCCTCAAGACACCACAACGCAAGACAAGCGACTACTCCGTTGCGAAAATAGCGTATTTTAGCTAGCGGCACATACGACCATACCTAGACCCCTGAAGGGTTGTATGGATGCACACAACGCCAAAGGGATGCACAATACGCAGATAGGGAGGGACAGGGCGAGATAACGAACTTGAAAGGACGGAGCAGCGAGCTCTGTTAGAGCATTTAGGTGTAGCTGTCTATGTATTCGATCGCAAGGAGACCCAGCCAGCTCAGTTGGGTCGGTGATCAGGTATATCGGTCAGTTTTTGGTACAGCATCATTGTTCGTTTCGCTGAACGAAGAAAGGCCTTCAGTTCGCAGTTTCACAAATGATGCAATCCGCATATTGCTACATATATATCAATATATATACACGGACATAGCCTGCCAGTACTGGATTTTGTACGGGTGACACGTCCGAGAGACATCAAAGAATACGAAAAATTGGGAGAGGACGCTAGCCAAGTTTCTGCTTCGGGTTTCGCCACCGATACTACTACAAAACCCGTATAAGTAAAGAGACCTATTGTAAGCGTTTTCTTTCGATATTTTTAGGTTTAAGTTGAAAAAGAAAATGGCAGATGCAATTTGTATATCACTGAATATAGTATAATATTCAATATCTTACCCTAGTATCAATTTTTAGCTAGTTTTGTTTCTGAGAATAAGATCTGGGATTACAGTCACAAAAAAAAACACCACACTAACCCGTATCGGAATTTCACTTTTCTAATAACGTCCTTGGTCTCGTATTTGAATCCATACGTGAGGTTACTAAGATATAATTACCACTCCTCTCTTCCAAAGCAGAAGTCTGCTCGGAGCTGAAAACGTTGAAATTTTTATAATGTATCCCTTCCGAAATGGCACAGGATGCTAGATGTTCATCATATCCTAGCTTTAAACAAATCCCTAGAAGAAATGTAATACCGCTTAGTCATCCGTGGGCATGTCTAGTCAGCAATGGGGCTACGCTTAACGCCAGTATTGTCTTTAGAGCGTAGTAAAATATCCTCGGTAGCGATACGTTTATGATTCTCATTGGATGAGTCACTAAGCAATACTATTACTGGCAAAAACGCGAGATAGTTATAACTCAGGTTGTGATAAAAAAGTAAACGGCTAAGGCAATTTTTCCGATAGTCACTTGTATTTGAGTTTTATTTAAGTTGAACTCTATGTTAGATTATTTTTAGCGTTTTTTTTTGATATCGTAAACAATAAGCGAATCGGCCCTAGCAGTCGCTCCTGGCGACGGTCATTTCGCGCTCAGTACGCACGTGCTCTGTTTAAACGGTTGGCCCGCTGTCGGTTAGGGGGGTATTTGGGCCGCTGCTTGCAATGTTGACCAAGTCAGCTGTTGCGACTCTACATTATCAAGAATAACAGATAAGCTCGTTTCGGCTCACGTTAGATGAACTCATTAAAGGCAAGAAACAACGAATGAGTCAGGAGAACCGCTGAAGAGCGCTCTCGTACCTTCGTAGTGAACAATGTCATTAGTGAAAGTGGACTTTTCAGATAGAACAATTCGTCGACCCTTCCTTACGTCAATGTCCTTTAGGTCGAAACGTGGCAGCGTCTATTACGGTACTTCTAGTTGATATAGCTCATTGAGATAGTAAGCCTCGGACACTAGGTAGAGTGACTATGTCTTATCATCACGGGATCGGCCCGTGTACTTTCACAGTTAATTATACCAGCGCAAACACTACTTGTATTTGAATTGATAGTTTTGCGAGCGAAATGTCGCTATATTAATGAGTATATGAGTTTCTGATACTATTATTGCCAATGGAAGCGAGCGGATTGTTTATTCTCACAGCAGGGACGACAGTTCACAAGACTACCTGAGACTAGGGCCTGAATTTTCCAGCGTCGATGGTTCATGCGGTTACGCGACTAAGTACCGTTAGGCTTGTTTAGTGTCGGAGTGATGAAGATACAGCATTGTCAACATTATAATATAATGTCCGAAGGTCAAACTACTCTTGATTGTTATGTCTACGTAAAAAAATAAATGATTCCATAGTAATTCATTGGTATCGAAATGTCGGAATACGCATTGGTGAACGACGGACCCCATGGATTATTTGGCGGAAACTAACAGTAAAAAATTACGCAAGCAAACGTTTTGGCTACCTGTAAATAACCCTTTCGGTTTGACGCTTCGGCGAAATGTTTCAGTTACCGTCTGCATAGACGTACACGAACAATAGAAAAAAATGTGGCTTTGCCATCCTAGTCGCTCTCCGACAAACGATTCATATTGGCTGCCTGCCTGCCTGTCACAGTGTGAGCCGCCCATAGGTAGACAAGCAACACGGTTTCACACCGGCCCAGTGCATATACAAGCACAGCACGATCGGATAGCGCTCTCTGTTTC